ACACTCTGGGGCCGCCGGGTCACTCTGCACACGCACACACACGCCTGGGTCACGTGCAAGCAGGGCAAGAGCACCACACATGTTCTGGGGCAGTCGGGTGGCTTTGCACACGCACACACCCCTAGGTCATGTGCAAACACGGCAGGAGCGCCACGCACGCTCTGAGGCAGCCAGGTGGCTTTGCAGGCATCCCCAGGTCCCGATAGCTAGAGCCAGCCGGAAGCCACGCCACGCTGCGAAAACACCACCTACCATTCTTCGCTTTGCAGGATCGGTTATCGGGCTGCAGGAGATAGCCCTCAACGCAGCTGCACGTGTAGGAGCCCTCCGTGTTCGTGCACGTCTGACTGCAGGTCCCGTAGATGGTGCACTCATCGAAGTCTGCAGGGGAGGGCAAAAGAACAAGGCTGGGTCCCACAACTGCATCAGCTACCGGTGAGCCAGGGAAAGGACAGAGACCCCCAGTGCTCACGGTGGAGCAGCAGGGAATGGGACATGCGGGAGGAACACACACCCCCGCAACAGGGGAGTCTAATCGTAGGGTTTAAAGGCCAGAAGGGACCAGCGCAATCCTCTAGTCTGTCCCCCTGTGTAACCCAGGCCAGAGAATCTCACCCCGCGAATCCTGCGGCCAGCCCAGAACTTCCGGCTGAGCCAGAGCAGAACTTTAACAGACATCGGCCGAGTGACAGCGAATCCGCCCCAGCCCTGGTGAAACGATGCTCTTAAAAATCCACCCCTTTCACTCCAGTCTGAATTTCTCTAGCATCAGCTTCCACCCACTGGCTCTTACTCTGCCCTGCTCTCAAAACGCTCTCCACAAACAGGGACTCAGAGCCCGCGATCACGTCGCGTCTCAACCTTCTCCCGAGTAAACTAAAGGGACGAGATTCTTTCATCTCTTGCGATGAGGCAGGCTTCCCAGAGCGCGAGTCCTTCTCGGAGCTCTTTTCTGGACCCTCTCCCGTTTTGCAGCCCCCTTTCTGAAGTGGGGACCCCAGACCAGGCCACAGCCCCCAGTGGTGGGCTCACTCATGCCGTACGCACCCTCCTGCTCGACTGATCTCCTCTTCCTGATGCATCCAAGGATGCTGTTCCCCCTCATGGGGGACGCCTGCTCAGTGCTCCAATGGGGGACCCCGTGGGGAGGGAATCAGTTTAATCCGTTGTGCTGCTCTGTCCTGGGCTACTACACAACCCCGACACATCACTGTGACACTCAGGATGGGATTTTCAAAGCTGTGGTATTCTAATGGGCGCTAAGCGTCCAAATCCCTTTGGAAGCCACCCCGCTCCCTACCCCCGCCCCAGGCTGGCTGGTCACACGTGGCCCACTGAGCTGATGCTGCGCCCCGGCAGTCCTGTCCCCGCCCCCACCGGGGCCGCGTTCACAGGCTGCATCGTCTCCATCCGCCACCAACCTTTGCAGCTCTTCCTGTCCTCGGCCAGCTGGAAGGAGCTGTTGCAGTAGCAGGTGGGTCCGACGAGCGTCGGGACGCAGTGGTGCTGGCACCCCAGGGCCGAGCAGTTGGCCAGAAACTCTAAAGAAAGGAGACGGGGGGGGGGAAGAGAACGTCACTTCAGGGGTCAGTGGGCACTTCGGACATCTGGGCAGGTGATGGGAACAGCGACGGTTCCTGCTGTCCTTACCAGCCCCCCGCCCCCCACAGCCCTAGCCGCATCCGCACTAGCTTGAGGGAAGGATGGGCTTATAGCCAGGACAACGCGCAGGGACTCAGGAGACCTGGGGTCACGTCCCAGCTCTACCGCTGACGTCTTGTGACACCTCGCACAGGTCACTGCCGCACGCAGCCCTCGGCTCCCCGCCTGCGAAAAGGGGAGAAGGACCCCGTTACAGGTACATCTACCCTGCAATCAGAGGTGCAATTCCAGCTCAGGCAGACAGCCGTGGGCCAGCTTTTACCTAGCCGGCCCGGCTAACACTAGCAGCAAATGCACCAGAGGGCAGGCTAGGAATGCGAGCATATTCCCGGGTGGGCACGCATGGCCCCACCACCGTGGTTCCAGCGCCACTTGGCCAAGATACACCAATCTGTGTTGCAATGACACCTGTGCAGTGTAGGCATATCCTGCAAGCTCAAATATTTTGCATGTAAAGATTTTCTGGGAGCTGGGGAATAAAAAGGAAACGTTTGATCGAAACCAATGATTTCTAGGCAGGGGATCTCCCAGCTGGACTTTTAAAGACAACGGGCCCAGTTCACCTTCACCCTGCTCCGTGTGTAGATGCTTCCACCAATGCAAACCAAGTGCAGACCGCTACCAGAAGAGCTGCGGTTTACACCTCTTTTGCACCGGTTAGACTGTAAGATCATCAACGCAAGACCTGTGTTTTTGTTCTGTGTTTATAGACGCCTAGTGTAAAGGAGCCCTGATCCCCGATCGCGGCTCAGGGAACACAGACGTCCAGGGCAACGAAGAATCTGTCCCAAGGCCATCAGAACACCACAAGCCCGGAGACCGTCCGGCATACAGGTACAAACGTGGTCCCCCAAGCCCAGGAAGGGAAGCAGCGAGGGAAAAGGCTGCGCGAGCCGCTTTGAAACAGTGACCGAATTTGATTCTGAAATATGAGTCACATTGTCTCTAACCTCAGCTGCATGGCTCAGCATTTCCTATTTAAAGGATCAGCCACAAGAGGCAAGGAGCAGGAAACCTAGCTCCTGCCACGCATGTCCAGAGCGCACCAGCATCCCTCCTCGACCACATCCGTTTCTCCAGCAGAGCTGCGCTGGGCCACCCGCTCAGCCCCACGGGGCTCCGGAAACCCGCGGGCAAAGATGGAAGCGGAGCGCGACGGGGGTGCGTTGAAGACAGGCCCTAGCCCTGGTTCTGGGCTCTTGCTGCCTGGCCCGCAGTGAAATTTAAGCCCCATTGTGTGCGTTCACTGCATGCTCCCCGAGATCACCTTAAACAACGCAAACAAGGGCTTCCTGTAGGGCCTGCTGAGGTGGGAGCAGGACGCACCCTGCCCACCCAAAACCTGCCGCCTGGAATTAAGAAGCTAAAGGGCGCCAGTATCCTCTGTTCTTCGTTGCCCCTATCCTTGCACACCTCGACTGACAACCCCGCAGAACCCAGCACTGAAATGGGGCACGCTGGATGCTCCAGGCAATACATGCAACAGGGGGATCCTCCATTTGGGAGGGGTTTCCCACTGTTCTCTAGCAGGGGGACACTCCACTGATCTCAATGGGGGGAGGGGAGGAGGGAATTCCCCCCTTGTTCTCCAGCAGGGGGATACGCCATTGTTCTCAGTGGGGGGGATTCCCCCATTGTTCTCCAGCAGGAGAATACACCATTGTTCTCAGTGGGGGGAACGGAAGGGAGGATTCCCATTGGGTGCTGGCCCCCTCCTGGAGCAGAGAAAGAGCAGAGCGGGGTGCAGCACCTGGTCCAATCAGGCAGCGGTCTGGACCATCGCAGCAAGGCCCCGGGAAGCTCTGGGGTGACCGTCACCGGGCCGTCTCCTCCCCAGACCGACCTCCCACCACCGAGCTCAGCAGGGAGCCAGGCCCTAGTCGGACTCGCCAGCAAAGGCAGGGAAAACACATCCCTGCCCGTCTATTAAGAGCCCCCCCCGGGCAGGAGCTGGATGCGTTAAATATCCCTGCTCCTGGGAGGGGCCCGCCCCAAGCGTGTTAAACAGCTTCCAACACCTCCCCTGCGCCCAAGGCCCGGTCCACACTCAAAGGCTCCTGCTCTGAACAGATTAATTTCTATCCATGGCTGAAATAAATGCTAATCAAGTGTCCATCTGCCCCGCGCTCCCCAATGCTCCGAGGTAGCCTGGGGCTGATGAGAAATGGAGCAGTGGCCCGGAGCACTCATCTGGCTGTGCCAATAACTGACGGCTTCCCGGACTCAGCAAAGTCACGTAATCATAGAAATCATAGAATATCAGGGTTGGAAGAGACCTCAGGAGATCATCTAGTCCAACCCCCTGCTCAAAGCAGGACCAATCCCCAGACAGATTTTTGCCCCAGATCCCTAAGTGGCCCCCTCAAGGATTGAACTCACAACCCTGGGTTTAGCAGTCCAGTAATGACAGGCCCCGTTACGCGACCAAAGGGGGTAATTATAGAGACATCCACGCAATGCGCTGGGGAGACCTCGGCTCAGGTCCCGCCCGGCCCCTTTGTCTGTGCCGCGGACCCCCATCCGTAATGTGAGGATAATGGATCTGCCCCGGCTCCCCAGGGGGTCGTGAGGATAGACTGTGTAGCCGTTGATGAAAAGCAGGAGGTAGATGTTGTTATATTTACACACAAAGCGAGATTCTCTGATAAAAAGGGGACAATAGGGGCCAGAATTCAGGCTCTAGATTAGCGAAATTTGCATATATCAATGCACATTGTAGTCACGGGATGCAAACTGTCTACCCATTTATAGGGAACCATATCTGAGCATCTGGAACCTTAATGAATTGGTCTTCACACGTCTCTCTGAGGTCGGGCCGAACTAGGCAAAGAGAAATTAAATGCCTTTCCCAGGAAGCCTCTTGCAAGGCAGGGAATTGAACCTACAACTCCTAGCTAACAACGAACCACTGGACCATGCTCCATCTCACTAGCACGGGAGTGCATTGCACTGGTGCAAACTGCAACCCCTTGGGAACAGTCGTGCTTTCGAACCCCCGTGCAACCCAGAAAGCTGCTCCGTACAAGCAAAGCAAGAACAAAATGGACAGGCGTCCCCGGCCAACCCAGCTACTCAAACACAGCAATGATAAGATAGGCTTCCGCGACCCAATTAACACACAAAGGGCTGGGATTGAGGCTTTGTGGCTGAAGGGACACTCATTGTGGGAAGCAGAAGAGCAATTCAGCCCACAAAGGTCTCTTTGTTTGAAGGGGTTTTTCCCTCTCCTGCCCAAGGACGCCCTGGCTTGGAAGCGCAAATCGGGATGAACTCGGGTCTGTATCAAACCCGGGTGTGCAAACCAATCTAAACGTGAACCTTGCCAAACTGAGAAAATCTGTCCGTTTTTCTCCGTGTTCCCCCTTTTGCAGCCCTCTCTCAGAGACCTCATGATCAAATGCATCCCACAGCTTGGAGCAGCTGGCTCCAGGAGTCTAGGAATGGGACATGGGCCCTTTCCCCTCTAGAGGGCGCCGGCTCCGATCCGGCCCCAGGGCAGGGGGCTGACTGGCTCAGGGTGGTGGGGAATGGGGCACGGGGCCTTTCCTTTCTAGGGGGCGCCGGCTCTGATCCGGCCCCAAGTCAGGGGGCTGGCTGGCTCAGGGTGGCGGGGAATGGGGCCTTTCCCCTCTAGGGTGCGCCGGCTCCGATCCGGCCCCAGGGCGGGGGGCTGGCTGGCTCGGAGTGGGAAAGGGGGGAAGGGAGGGAGTCGGCACTTCAAAGCCAGTGCAGGTTATTAGTAACTGGCAGTCCCGTTCCAGGCTTAGGACGGAGCGCGAGGGAGGGTTTGAGACGCCATCTCTGACCACATCTCATTAAACACCCGCTGACCAGCACCCCTCTCCACAGAGCAACCCCGAGACCCAACTCCCCCCTTCCTGCCCCTGGGGGACAGGACTGGGACGGGGCTCGCGTCACACCCGGGACAGTTAATTTGCAAGTACAGTACATTCAGGGCTGGGGAAGAGCGGGGAGGGGGAGGACACAGGAACATAAATGGAGGGCAGCAGCAAGCCACCCACATCCCATAGTCCCCCTCCCTCCCCCCTAAATCTGCACCCCCAGAAACCAGCACTGCAGAGCCCAGAGGTCACATTCTGTGGTTAAACAAACTGTTTGTGATTCTGAAAAGCCCCCCCTGCCCCAAAACCACATTAAAACCAGATAGGAAATTTCACAACCTCTGGCACTAGGTCCCTGCAGCCTCTTGCCAAGGTCACCAACAAAGATCTGGGGGACGACGACAACGTTTTACCATCCAAATCTATTCTGGTTTGTTTACGGGGGGTTCAGAGGTCGAGTCCAGGTCAGGGGGGAAAGGGGGGGCTTTCGGGAAGCCACGCTGACTAACCAGGGAGCAACGACCGGTTCCCATAGGACGCCTCCTGCCGCCTTGACCAGAAGTGGGTGTGGAGTCAGGACGCTGAGCTGCATTGGAGTGGTCTGTAAACACTTCCTGCTGTGTGAATCTCACCCCGACATTCGGGGAACGAGAATCTAATGCAAGGTCAGAACAGGAGCATGGGGGACGGAGGGGGGTGTCAATTGCAAATTCCCACACTAGCCCAAGGACCCTGTTACAGCCAGAACTAAACATGTCGATATAAATCAATTTAGTTAATCCAGTCCACGTGTGTGTGTAGACGCTCTGATTCTGGTTTAAGGGCTGGTCTACACTCTATTACACCAGTGTAAAAGATCTCCTTGTTTCAGTGGGAGCTGATCGGTCTCCCATCAATCGATCTTTGGACTTAAACTGCTACAATTAGTGCAGGGTTGTTGTTTTTTTAAACCGGCATGACTCTCTTTTGCTCAGAGTTAAACCGACTTAAGCCTGGGTTACAGTTAGAAATTTTACCAGTGTCGTGACGCCAGCTCGGGGGATGGTTTTATCTATCCCGCGCCTAGTCTGGCCACAGTTATACCAGGCTAAAGGTGCTTTCTATTGAAACAGCTCATTTCCCCTTTATCCCGGTTTAACAGCCGCCAGCCTAGCATGTGTCACCACTTTACCTAGACCCGGACAGTTCTAGCAGACCTACATTCCAGAGCGGACAAAGTTGCAGGAGCAGTGTGGACGCAATCCATTTCTGATCCATCTACCACAGTGCAAGGGCCAGCAAAGGAAAGCCACGCCGGCACCGTTTACCCTCTTTGGCACAGCATATGCCTAACGTTCACATTTTGCTTTTGCCCGGGGAGGTCACGGTCCAGGCTACGGTCCCCAGGCCAGTTGGCTGTCTAACACACAGCGGGAGGAGCGCCCTTTCCCCTGGCAAAAACGGTAAAGATTTGCTCACAATCCCGCTCTAAATCCTCTGTGTTATGCGTATGCAAGTTTAATAAGCCGGGTGGGCCAGCTGACTCGTTCACATGGTCTATCGGCTTTGCAGGGCGTTTGGCAGGCCTGCATGTTCATTTCAGAGCCTTCTCTCTCGGCTCAAGTGCCACATGCACCAAAGAAAACCCCAACAATATTAGGGTTTTAATTTTTTTTTTTTTTTTTTTTTTTTTAAAAGGACGCTGTTCCGGTGGAAACAGTGCCGCTACAATTCCAGCCCTTGGGGATTTTTAAAAGAACAGTCAAGGTTTGTGGCTCCCGGTTCTCTGCTACCAGGAATAGCCTGTTCGAAGGTTGCAGCTGGGATCTCTGCTTCTTTACTAGCCAATATTTCTTCCCTCCCTCTGCTGAGTTTGCCCCTCCCTTGGTCTGTTATCGTAGGGTTGCTTGTGCACTGGGAACTGCCTGCAGGCTGGCGTGCCAGCGTTAGGTTAGAGAAGAGTGTGTAGGGCTGCTAGTGATTTTCCCAAAGTGACCGTGGGGTTTAGGAGCACGTGGGAATCATGCCTCTAAATCCCCTAGACAAAAGCCTTGGCCCCTTAGCTTGTCGTCTCAGGCCCAGGGAAAGGAGAATTATCATCAGAGTGGAGATCAGGGCATCCGTTCAAGGCAGTGAGGTGTGCTGGTTAAGGCCTAGGAAACCCGAGTCCTAGTCCCAGCTCTGCCACTGATCAGCCGTGTGACCTTAGGCAAGCCCCATCGCCTCACTGGGCCTCAGCTTCCCCTTTCATCCAAGGAGGAGCGATTCTCTCCACTGTGGGAATTACTGGGTGCAATTCCATCTCTTGCATGGGGCAGGCCAGACTCCAGCGGCAGAGAGGAAGGGTGGCCCATTGGTTAGTGAGCTAGTCAGGAGACAAGGCCTCAACTCTGCCACAATCTCCCCGTGGGACCGCAGGTACGTCACTTCGCCCTTCTACGCCTCAGTTTCTCCATCTGTCGAATGGGGGTAACAATCCTGGCGTGCCTCAGGGCTGGGCGAGGATAAACACGCTAGAGAGGGTGAGGGGCTTGGGAGTGCCAGGGATCTGGTGCAGGGAGCCGGGAGGAGACGCTTATGCAAAGGGGAATGTTCCCGGGTGCCTGAACAGGTGGTTCATAAAGGCAACGGGGACACGGTGGAGAGAGCTGGGACTCCAGAGCCTTGGGCTCTATGCCCACCTCTGCCCCTGACCTGCTGGGAGACTTTGCACAAGTCACCTCCCTGCTCTGTGCCTCAGTTTCCCCCTCTGGAGACTGGGAATAACGATCTTGAACTCCCTGGGAAAGTGCTAGGTAAGAGCTAGGCATCCTCCGTATAAGCAGCAGGGACTCTGTACTTGTATCTTCGGTACTTAGCTGGCACATCTGAGCACCTCACAACGTCTAACGTATTCAGCCTCCCACACCCCCGCAGGGCAGGGCTGTTGTCCCCACGGTTCTGAGGAACATAGACTGAGTGACTTGACCAAGAACGCACAAGGAGTCAGTGGCAGAGAACCCTGGTTTGCCAAGGGCCAGGCCAGGCTAGGTTTTTCCCAACAGGAGGTAGCAAGACCCCCGGCTAAGGAGGAAATCAGTATCTAAACTAAACCCAAAATCCCTGCGCCTCCTTCCGCTCAGCAGAGAGCGCAGCTATTTAACAGCCTGACGGGACAGGAACAATCGGCATTTTTCCTGCAGGAGGGAACCTTCAAGTCCTCTAACCCACAGCCCCCAGGACTTGTTGACAGTGGTGGGTCGGGGGGTCGCACTGAGGTACCTCCACCAGTGCATCGCTCTTGTGCGAACACGCCGCACGCAGGGGCAAATCACTTTCTACCGGGGCCACGGCCCGTGGCTTGGGGTCGGCGCTGGCGCAGCCGTCTTAGTGCAAACAGCCGGTGTGGAATTTCCCCCCACCCCCGACAGTGGAGTCTCTCAGCCCAGAGGGAGGTGGGGGCTGCCCCGGGGACCCGCCGGTGCTCCCCTACCCCGGCAGTGCGACCCCTCGTCCGAGCCGTCAAAGCAGTCCTGCAGGCCGTTGCACAACTTGCTCATGGGTATGCACAGCTCCGTGCCCAGGCAGTTATGTTCATTGGGTTGGCACCGCGACACCTTGCTCTGCGGACCTGGAAGAGAGCAGAACACAAGAGAGATTCAGCCGAGAGGGGAAGGGAATCGCTCATCAGCATCACCGCAACGCCCGGGAGCTGCAGCGAGGACCAGGGGCTGCAGCTGGGCCCAGCCCATGCAAGCAACGAGAACCCAGCCCGACAGCTCCCCGAGCAAGGGGCCGGATCCCTCCCCTCCTCCCGGCGCCCTGCCACTCCCCCCAGTGCAAAAGGCCCCGCTCGCATTTCACACCCGCTGGGCTCTGATGCAAACACCTGCAGGCGGCACAAAGCCACAGACAATAGGAGCCGAGGGAGAACCCTGCCATTTGCAAGACAGGCCTGGGGGATGTCTACGCTGCAGGTTTACTGCGTGTTCTTACCCCACCACACACCAAACCCTCCCATGCATGTAGAACCCGTGCTCACATGCATGACTGAGGCGTGGGGCAAGGAGACCAAACTGCACTTGTTTCCAATGAGACTTCAGTGCTACTGTCACGTGGCTGCTTTTGAAAATCGGCCCCCCGTGCGTCTGTCTACACTGCACACAACCCCGGGCTCCGACTTGAGCCCAAAGCCCCCTTCCATCTACACCCAAATCTCTCTGGCTTGGGCCCGCGAGTCCCCTGGGCCCAGGCTCTAGGACTGGCCAGGCGGAGGGGCCAAGCCCCTTGTTTTGCAGTGTGGACGCAGCTTGGGCCCAGGTCCTGAGAGTCTCCCAATGGTATCCCACAATCCCACGGGCCAGCGCTCCTTGGGGGGACCCGTAGCTGGGGTCTCCTGTCCAAAGCGCTGCCCCAACCCCACCCAGCTTCACTCCCGAGATCCAACAGATACACCACATAGGCAGCCTGGCTCAAACTCCCAGGGGACGGGGCGCAGGTAACGCAGCCACACAGGGTGGGTCCCACCTGGGCTCCTCCGCGCAGGGACGCGCTGAGAGGGGCCGGACTTGCAAGGACCCAGGGCAAAGGGAGAGACCAGATTAATGGCAGTGGAGGGGGCCAGTGCCCTGGCTGCAGCTTCGGCCTCCAGCATCTCCCTACCCCTGCCGGCATCTGTGTAGATATTTCACCCCGGTAAGGAAACACAAGCCACTGATCACACAGCACTTTACTGACCGGCTCGTCAGACACAGCAAACTTCACCCCCTCCTTCCCACGCCACACTCCCTGGGCCAGCGTCACCCAGCCTCCCGCAGCCGACAGGGCCTGTCAGCCGGCTCCTTCCTAGAGCCCAGGACACACGTCTCGAAGCTGCCCGGGGCAGGCCAGAACGGGCACATCCACAGGGTTCCTGACGTGCCCACTCCCCCCCGAACGGGGACCGGACAGGAAAGGGAGCCTGCCTCACGAGAAAGGGAACCCAAGGGGCCAGGAAGCGTCCAGCGATGGGTGCCTTGTGGGGCTCCCTGGCTGGGGCAGCCACTCCAGGGCTGGATCGCCCCCTCGCATGAACCACCCTCAAATAGTCTGAGCCGAGCGCTCAGCACTTCTGGGGGCGGGAGGAGCTGTTTCTAGGTCCCTCTCTAGCCAGAAGTTATATTTTTCCTCCCTGCTGGTCGCAGCACCCAAGGGAAAATGCCCCTCTGAAGGAGCTGGGATGGCACATCTTATTTTTAGCCTCATCTTGGCATCAGAAGATGGGCAGAGCAGAGAGAATCTTTAACGAATAGCTCATAAAACCACTTCCTCATCAGCCCAAGGACTGAACCACCTTCATTCCAGCAGCGTCGCACGGGCTGTGATTAGCACTGCATCCTACCTTAGGGACTGCCCCGCCAGCACAGGACCCGACCCCGACACAGCCCCCCGGAGAGACGGGGACGGATCATTATTCCCATGAGGAAAGAGAGAGACGGGCCCAAGGTCACCCCGGGAGAGCAAAGAATTGAAGGCAGGTCTCCAGTTCCCCTAAGCAGCTGTGCTGTGCCCTCTCTCTTTCCCCGCAACAGCAACAGCCTCCCACGCACTGCACCGCCATCGCCGCTCCGCTTCAGGGTGGAATCCTGCACCAGGAGGAAGAGAATCCAGCGCCTGCAGCGGTCTGGGCTCAGCGGGGCACCCAGGCTCACGAACAAAGCCAGCAAGTAGGGCTGACCGCACAGGGAGGCGACCCGCCCAGTCAGACGGTGCCATTTTGACCGCCATTTTGCAGAGCAGCGTAAACGCAACCGGGTGCTTTACAACCACAGAGGCGGTCCCCGCCCCAGCCGGAGGGGGGACGCGGGAGAACAGCTCAAGCACAGAATAGGGACGGCCGTCGCTGCAGGAAGTCATGGAGATGCCTCGTGGGAAGAAGGTGCGACGTAGCAGGGAGGGGAAAGGGGACGTGACGTCCCTGTGGAGTGGGACATGCAGGAACTGGAGTTTCCCCGCATTGACGCACGCTTTCTCCTTCGCTGCAGATGCACTCGCTAGCTGAGGGTGCATCCGAAAGTCGTCCGCTTGAGCTGACGGGCGAGCGACTTCGGCCAGGGCAAGGCCTCTGCCAGCCCCACTCCCTGGGGGAACAGGGTCTGTCCAGGCCAAAGCTCATTCCAGGCACCCAGTTAGCAGCAGCGAATGGTGCAGGGAACTCGGGAGAAGGGGCGTTGATTCGATTTTCATTTTGTTTTGCTGAGAAGAGCAGAGCCTCGGGGTGGAACGGGCACTAGGGGAGATGGGGGTAGGAGACGCACAGACACGCACTCCTCTTCTCACAGAGCCGGCCTCCCGCCTGTATTTTTCCTACCCCTGAACGAGACCTGTTCAGCATAGGTCCTAGACAGAGGCCTTCGCGCATCTCCCTGCCCTCCAACCTCACTCGCACCAGCTACGAAACAGCCAATTATCACTTGGCGACTCGACAGGGAAGTTCGGACCCAGCGTGCCAAGCTCCCAGGTAACAGCAAAACCGAGAAGCCATCAGAAAAGCTCAGGCTGTGACGACACGGAGCCCCACTTCTCTGCCTCATGCCACAGAGGCAGGAGAACATTTCAACGCCACGAGGAAACCAGGCCGATGGAGCCAGTCAGGAACATGCAGCCCCAACAGCTCTTTGCAAGAATACCCTGGCTTCTAAGGGGGCAACATTTATTCCTGTTTGTTCTGGTTGCAGTGACTTTAAAAGGCCGCCCATTAGGAATGATTGTGTTTATCCAGCCCCTCCGGTTTCTATTTGGCCTAGTGGGTTAGAACAGGGAGGGGCTGGGAGCTAGGACCCCCTAGCTCTGAAAGGGGAGAGGGATCTCGTGATTAGAGCAGGGAACAGGGACCCAGGACTCCTGGGTTCTGTCCCAAACTCTGCCACTGTTTGTCTGTGTCTCTCCGGCTCCTTTCCCTTCTGGAGGATAACGCGGTTTGGTTTATAACCACGCAACTCACTAGGTTAAGAGCCTTCTTAACAGCTACTACACAATAGCTCTTGTCTCTAAAGAGAGCTCTATCTAAATAAACCCACTCTCCTAGGCTCCGAATAATTGCAAATTAAGGGTTAATTAGCCGAGTTTCCAAACAGGTCAAGGGAAGGCACCCAAAGGAAGCACACAGTCCATCAGTCAAAACCGATCTCCCTGCCCATTATCCCTGTGGAAAGAGCAGATCAACTACTTATCACAAATGGGGCAGGATTAATTTACAAGCCACTTTGTTTCCCTTCAACCGCCTTTGCTCGTTAATAAATGAGCCAATTTATTATATGTGACAAGCTTGTGGTACACCCCAAAGGGCTGAATTAGACATGAATTTTTAACCTCAAAAAACCACTTGAAAAGCAGCAATTCTTCCCCCCACAAAAGCAGCCTGTAATTGATCTGGCACCGGCCCAAAGACACATAAAAATGGGAAAAAGCTACAAGTGAAGAGATAAGAGAGCACGGAGTGAGGACTGGGGACTTCACAAGCTACATGGCTGGAGTGTCGGGGACGGGAAGGCACATTCAAATAAAACCCACTTGGGCGACTAGGTTAAAGCCCCAACCCCAATTCTTATGATTTAGCATTCGGAGTGCGGCCCCGGGCCTGGGTCAGGCCGCCACTGTGCTAGGAGCTGTACAAACACAACACACAGCCGCTGCCCGTGAACGTCGCCGGTTAGAGTCCAGGGGGAGGATGAGCTTCGCTTGGGGACGGCGCACTGACCTGGGACTCCGCAGACCTGGGGTTGATCCGTGGCTCTGCTGCGTGGCCCTGGGGAAGTCACTTCCCGGCTGTGTGCCTCAGTTTCCCTTCCCCTCTATGTGCCTCAGTTTCCCTTCCCCTCTCTTCGTCAGTCTGGCCTAGCTGCGAGCTCTTCCAGGGAGGGATTGTCTCTCATGACGTGTCTGTGCAGCCTCTAACACAACGGGGGGACCCTGATCAGAGAGGGGGCCTCCAGAGGCTAGATAATACACAATAACGTGGAGGGAGGGGGGCACATTCTGCTTCCAGGCCCAAGCAACTGTGTGGGGGGGGGGGGGGGGGGGGGGGGGCGGATGCTGCTGCCAGGCCGGGGGGGGGGGGGGGGGGGGAGAGAGACGCGGAACCCAGGGCAAGTTTGTCAAAGGGGAGGAATCTCGGGAAAATCCACTCCAGGATCTCGCATACGCCTCTAGTTAATTTCAATGAACCTTCCCTGTCTCCTGCCTCTCTGAGCTGCCAGGAGCATGCTGCAAAGCAGTGAGGAGAAAGGAACCGTCTGGGGGCGCCGCTACGAACAATTCAGGGTGCAGCCTCGGGCCAATCCAAAGCAGACAGACACCGCGACTTTGCCTCGACATAGCACCTACCGCTCGAAAAAGCGGTAAGAAACTGTAAGGAAAAGACTCCGCATCCAGGGATACCTCGATCGGTAACATCCCTACAGCAGCTGGGGGAAAGGAGCCCCGGGCGTCCACGGCTACCAGTGAGCAGGGATTAGAACCCAGGAGTCCGGAATCGCCATTCCTCACTCCCTGCCCCTGGTCGTACCCACCAGACAGCGGGTCAGTTTCCTCGGCTGGTACGCACACTGGCATAGATCCGCCGCGTCCCGGGGCGCCACCCGTTTTATACCA